GCCAGCGTTTTGCTATTTTGGTAAGTTCAGGCTGAGAAGAGTACACGCTGCTCTCCACAGGGCTTAATTTTGAAAGTGACAGCTAAGTTTCTCCTCACAGTTATCAGGAATTTTTTCACTAGTGGACACCAGAAGCAAAATAGCAATAGCATAGAAAAAGCGGACTTCCACAAGTGGCCCACTATAAATCAAAAACACAAATTAAGATACTTTGAAAAGTATTACCTGTGGGCAACACAGAAGTGACAATGCACTCTAGGATATTACATTGATTGCTATTGGCAGGAATTAATTCAGACTATGCTTCGGTGAGCAGTGAAGGTCACAACAGAAGTCTCAGAAATACATTTATGACCTGTCCAGTTATGACCATATACACAAATACTGCTTCGCCCTGGATAAACAGCCATGACCATCTACACCTACAGCAACACTGCCCGATGGTAAAGGCTTTGTGAAGTTAGCACTGGGTTGTGGGAGCACACGTAGGGAAGTTGAACAAGACTATAATTACCAAACCTAAATTGGAATAAAACAGAGTAGCAAGCTCAACTAAACAGAGAGGGAATCTCATACTCATACTGTACTCATGCTTGCCCATAATCTTTACTGAATAAGCCCAGCAACTATTTTGTGATCAGTCATTTGACTTTTCTTTTTAACTTTTTCCTCTTTACTTTACTCCTTAAATAACTATGCCATACCTTGATCACACAGTTGGACGTTTAACTTCTTGGCATGGAACAGGAGGAGAGGGCCAATGTTTTTCAGGGAGAGAAGGAAGGAGTTATGGCAGGAGCAAGGATTAAGACTCCCGAGACTACTGATGAACACAGGGCATTAGCTGATGTTACCGGTAGCCAAAAGCCTTGTATAGAATTGACACCCAAATTCAGTTAGGAGAGTTGGGTTGCAGGTTTCATTTCCTTCAATTTTATACTGCTCCTCCCAAGCGACTCCCTTTGTTTTTGTTTGCTGACCAACTACATCTATGGAAGCAAGGCTGCATACGTCTGAAGCCTCTCATCTCTCTCTCAGGTGGCAAGTAGAACATGCAAAAAAGACCAATTATACCATAGACAGTCTTATGCTCGTCAAAGAAAGGGTGGGTTACATTTTATTTTAAAATTCAAATCCAATTTTCAGTTGTTAGGCTAATCCACTCAAGGCTTGCGGTCCTCCAGTGTTTTTCTACTTGCTCTCGTGTGACAACAGGAGGTTGTCATATAAACAGTCTTCCTTTAGCTGCCTCTCCTCTACTTTTTCCCTGCCCAGATATATACTTTAGCCTTGACAGGATGAACCAAAGCAGAGTTAAAACTTACATAATTTATATTCCTGTATTTGTTAGATCCAAGCTTAAAATATAACTTGGAGTTATATGAAACAAGTGGACAAAAAAGTGAAGTTAAAGTGAAAAAATATAGGATGAATAAAATAAGGTGCCTTTCATTCGGCACCTCAAATGTAAGAAAGTAGGAATTTAAAACCTCAATGCTAAACCTAAGTCTTATTGCTGAACAGAACACATGAAAAATAATTTTTCAACCTGTTCTGAAAGGCTGTGGTAAGCTGCTTCCACATTCAATGCATTTTCTTGAAGGAGCTGTAAAAAACAAGGTATTTTCCATAATCTAGATTGATTTTTTTTTTTTTTTTTAAATACATTCAGGTGGAATATTCAATTCACACGTTCAGTCTGAAGGACTATTTTGCCCATGATAAGCTTCTTACATCCTAATATGCAACATTCAATACAACAAAACAATGTGGAAAAGGATGGATTTACTTTTATCCAACTAAACTTCTAATAGAATTCTGTGAAAATCACTAAATCTGAATCAATATTTTCATAAAGTTTGGTAGATTATTTTCATAATGTCCTATTTCTCCCTCTGTTTCACTGGCATAATTGAAAATTGAATTCCAACATGTAGATTTTATTAGGAATATATTACTAGCATTTTTAACTATGGGTATTCTCTTTCCCCCCTCACGACTTAGGCAGATGTATCCAGTTAATGATGAACCACGCTACATAAATTTCCTGTTTAGAACACGCTGGCAATACCAGCATCACAACCTACAGAGCTCAAAACGGGTGAAAGACTCATTTGGTCACTAACACCACCATTTTTCTTTAGAGATCAAAAGTTTTCTAAACTGGGTGTGGGGGGGGGAATCCAAAAAAGAAACTGTTCACTTCAGATTCCTATATGAACTACTGTGACACTATTTAAGAGGATCTACACTACTGTATAGAATGAAAGGGAAATTAGAGATACTACTAGAACTAAGGAAATTTGATTTACCACAACGCTAAGCGTTATTCACTGTCTTTGGAATATCACCCTGCCTGCAGGAAATCTAGGATGCCTTGATTGCCAAGCATCAGGATATTTAGCTGTTCAACTACACCATGCTGAACTAGCTGTTCCTCTGTACTATTTTACTCACTGAAGGTTGGTCCACAATTCCCCAGAAGGTACTGAAAAAATAAGAATAAACTAGACAGACAACCTGGTTCCGTTTTCCCCCCCTCAATCTTCAGAATAATTGAGGAAAAATGTCTCTCAATGTCAAAGAAAGATGAAGTCAGAAGAACACTTGCCTCCATCCTTTATTCTTAAATTAAGTTCCATTTTCTGAAGTGGATAGTCCATTCACATGCTGCCTGCTTTGTTGATTAATTTTGCCTTGCAATACAGCTGAAAAAGTTTTTCTTCACTTTCAGAAATTGTCTTTCCACAAGAACACTATTGCCCACATACTGTTTGATCAAGTTATAATGTCCTAGTTTCTGATCCCTCCTAGTGAAGCCTGTTGAGCTCCAAACTGGGAAAGCTCATAGATGTTTCAAGGCTGCTTCTATTATTCCTCAAAGGTTCTCTGCTGGAAGCTCTGTAGCTGCGAAGACTAATACCATCAAGGAAATGAATCACAGGTATCTCTCTCTCTCTCTTTGTATATAATATAGGAGATATAAAAGAATAACTTTTTTGGTACATTCAGATATGATCTTAAAATTTTAGTGGTCATATGTGAAGTACTTTTTTAAAAACATGAATCATTTTGGTCTGATAAACAGACATGAAAGAGGTTCCCCATAAAAGGTAATAAAATTCAATATGCCACTAAAGATCATTGGTTTAAAAAATTATGGTATCATAAATAAAGATTAAAAAAATAGGCTGGTATACAGTTTGATTTCATTCCCTTTGAAAAATTATTGAACAGCAGTGAAATTCTCTTCTGATTAGCAGGAAGTTGCCATCAAAGCCTCCTCTGGATAACCTAGCATAACCTTCCACAGTATGTGGCCATCAATTAAATACTGCATTTAAAGTATTTCAGTTCCTTTTACTTATGCATCACTTTTTGTATATTTTGAGTTTCAGCTTCTAAAATTGGAATGTGGTGACAGGAATCTTTTAAGCATTTTTAAAATTACACAAGAGTACAGCATAATTTCATTTGTGAAAAATCAAATGTCTATGAGCGACATTGCTGTTTATATATTTTAAATACACCTCATGCAATTGCAAGGTTAAAAAAAGGTCCAACTATTGAGCTTCGAGAATAAAAACTTATTCTGATAAAAGGTAGCTGATGCATTTTCATTTTTTACTCTTTTATCAATCATTTTGCAAGACGACTTTTTTGACTAGTTCATCTTAGTCTTAGTGGGAAATTTTCTGTAGAAGCTCACTGTTCTGGATATGGCACTGTAAAGCGTACACTTAAATGAAAAGCTCTCCAGAGCAGGGAGAGGTTGTTTTTCCCCCACTCTGCCCCACTAACGTTTGAACTTTTAGGGCATTTAATCTTCAACAGAGGAACTGCTTGAATTTATCTGTATAATGACATGGATATTACACATATTTTGTAAACTTCTTCTCCCTGACCATTTTGATTGTTTTGAGTGTTTTTAAAAGAACATGAACAGAAATGTTCCAGATCACATAACAAAACCCACACAAAGGTAACTAGGTCTTTCAGAAGTTTGTAAGGAACTCCGAGTAGTTGATTTCTTCAAGCTGAGCAGACAGAAGCGTGAAATAGACTTCAACTCGCAACAAAATAGTGAGCACCATTTTAATATTACTCAATATTGGGACTGAGGAAAGGTGTTTAACAGCAAAGAGGAAAATCCCATAATGGAGGAAAGCCTCCAATCTAAAGCGATCTGGAGGCACCAATTATTTTAAGTGATGACAATTTTAGAAATCTACACATGCCAGAATGTAGTTTCTATTTTAAAGCACTATAAACAGTATTATAACTGAGTGAACAGAATGCCATTGATTCTTTAGAAAATAAATTTCAAAAACTCTGAGAAAAATCAAGTACAAAGCTTACTAATAGCTCTAGTGATAAACTTATTAGTTTTCACTCTATGCAAAGGAAATGGAAAAATATTAAGGTGAATGAATTTAGGTGCAGATCAAAAATGAAGGATTATGCTGCCAGGGAGTGAAGGATTATCATCACTTACCTCCCTCATCCAGAAGCTTCCCACTCAGGGGCTGAGATGTATCTGAAGAGTAACATGTAATGGAAATTTGTAGCATTAAATTAACTGCAGCTGATTGGAAGCACCTGATGGAGAAGAGTTGAGAACACCTGCTGTTTTAGAAGTGTGAATAGGATAATCCCAAAATCTGACTTTCTGGTCTTCTGCCCTGACATTAACTATTAAGGTTAAAATTTGTCTGACCACTGGAAAAAAAAAATACTACAATAGTTACAATAAGCTACTGGAGAGTAGCGTTCCAGACCAATAAAAAGAAAAAAGCTCAAACTATGGTTTTTAACTGAAACCATAGCCTCATTACACCAGTAGCCAAATAACCAGGCAATACAATTAGCACCAAAAGGAGATACCAGTTTTCATTGATCAGTACACTGAAAGCCAAAAAAACCAAACCAAGACACACCTATTCGTCTCCCCGGTAGAGTACTTAAATACATAAGTCAAGGCTACAGAAGACAAATCTTACCTAGTAAGTGTGTACTCCCTGAGTCCTGAATGCAGGTTCATGGCAGAAAAAGTACCTATGCATCCACGCAATCGTTTATCTCGACCAATCTTCCACGTTACAAACAGTGGGCTGTTTTAGGGAAGAAAAAAAGACGTGATCACAGAAGCAATATTGACAGATCGTGTGGAATTTCAACAAATGTACTTCCTTTTAGGGCAACTGGGGCCCAATCGTTAAAATAATTGCATCCGAGTGGGCCGTAGTATTTAGAAATGCGCTTTGCTATTCTTTTGACTGCTCTAGAAGTGTTGCTCATGTAATACAGGAGAAAACAAGACTACTGGAATATTGAATAGCCAGAATAGGACTCTTTCTGGCAGCTGACGTGATATTCTGGATGTCCCTCCCTGTTACCCACTAGCATTCTCCCGTGAATGGAAAAAGCCTCACTTTAGACACCTACACATAACGAATCCTGCATAGAAGAGAAAAGCCATCTGTCATGCTATTTACCCCTCCACCTGAGCACAAATATGTTGGTCACGTAACGCTGTTGGCAAAAAACACTACCAGAAATGCTTGAAAGGCAAGCTAGTTTAGGAATGCTCTGCAAACTTAAAGGAGGATCTGCACAAAGGAAATTCTTGCCACGAAGCCCAAGCCATCATTAGTTAGTATTCACGAATCTCAGAAACGACCAGGAGTGGAGCAAAACCCTAAGTAAGTTGAACGCATCTCAATTTTATAACAGTTACAAATACTTCTACTATCAGACAACTTGGAGCCAAACCAGCTACTAAGCTAACAGGGAAAATACAAACTATACAACTTTTGGGAACCAAACCTTGCAGTTCTGTAGCACTATGTCAATACACAAGCATCAGAAAACTACACAGTCTTTAATTTCTCAAGGAAGTCCACACAGCTCCTGGATATGCAGCCCTCTCAACTCTAATACAGATTTCTAATCCTGATATGAACAGGAATCCACAGAGAAGAGCATAACAAGTTTGCTTTTTTTCCAGAAAACGGACAAATCAAAGTGAATTACATGCACACACTTTCCCTGACTGGGGAAACTTAAAAAAAAGAAAGAAGAATAATTAAATAAAAAAAATGCATTTCAGGTAAATAACTTGCCATAGGGCATTCCTTGTCACAGATAGGTTCATGTTCCTGCAAATGATATAGCTAAGTGCTCCGTGCTAAGAACTGGTACATGCAAGGGGAGAGGGGAATAAATTGTCAAGCACCTCCCCCTTGAATCCTAAACAAGGTGTTAGGCTGAGATAAACCTGTTTTTAATTTTTGTGGAAAGTCATAAGCCATTCAGGTATAAACATACATCGTGCTCGAAACCAAGACCATTGCGAGGCTGCTGACAGCAGTGAGGTGCAGCTCTGACATTGAGAACACCTGCAGCCATGCACATCTCATGCACACTTAAGGATGCTTGACTGACTTCTCTCCAAAGCTATTTGATTAGGCTCTGCTCTCCAGCATTGTACACACGTACAAACCATTATGCTGAATCCACCTTATTTTATGCAGGAAAAAAAAAAAGCTATAAAAACTGTCCTTATGTCAGTCATTGCTACGAAGACAGAAAGGTTAATCTCCAGCTAGCATCTGAGAATCAGGAGACTGCAAAGCAAGCGTAATTACCACGTGTGCCCTGAAGGAGTGGAGCAGGTCCAATAGCATACACACATCCAAAAATACACCAAAAATTCAAGTTAGCTGCACCAAAAAAACAAACAAAAAAAACCCTCAAAAAAATCCCTTCTTCTGATACTATTACCTGCTGGAAGCAAGGAGCAAGATAAGATAATGCAACACACTGTAAAACAACCTCTGGTAACTGCATCTCGCCCAGCTCCGCCTTTCAAAAGGTTGCTTTAAAAAAAAAAAGTTTCTCCTTATTCTGTGAAAGGGAGAATATATGTCTCTAGATTCTTAAATTATACTAAGTAAAAAAACTTCAGCATATCAGAAGCTCAGTCTGTGCATAACTGCATGAATCACTGCACAGTGAAAAAGAGATGGATGCGTCTATGACAGGTCAGGGAGCGAGTGAGTGTGTGCCCATGCCATGTAAGGGCACCCTCCCTTTTCTCCTTGCATCCCATTAGCTTTGCCTGGTGTGGCACAAGATCTACATCATGTGATGGGGGTAAAGGATACGGCTCTCAACCTCTACAGCATCAACGCAGCAGCACCAAGTCCTCTCAACTTTCCAGAACAAGTTATTGCCTGCTGGTAGAGCAACTTCCTCCTTTATTTGATTAAACTGGATATGTTCCCTTCTTTCAGCAAGGGTGGATAGAGAAGGAAGCTGAATTCATATCTTTCTTTTGGATTCCCTTTTATTTCTTTTTTACTTTCTTTGGGCTGTTTGGAAAAAAAAAAAAAAAAAGAAGAACATAAAGCCAGAAGGGACTGCTGCCTCACATTTCATATAATACAACAAAATGAAGGCTGAAGCAGCATACAAATTCTGTTACACTGTTCCTTTCCCATTCAGTTCAACAGATGGCATTTGACTAACAATTTCAAGAAAGGTATATTGCAGTTCACCTAAACGATAACAAGAAAATTATTAGACTGCAAATGTACTGAAGACATCCTATCCCCTTGCATAGGAACAAGCCTGAGTAAGATTAAAGTTGGACCTCAGGATTATTTTTTTTGACCTTTATCTTTGGATTATGAGATTTATTAGCTGTAATACACTTACTGGAGGGCTAAAATTCAGGGGAACATATATGCATTTACTTTCTTATCAAAATGGAATTCCTTCTAAGATGCATTGACATTGGAACTTTAAAAGAATAATATAAGAAAATGACAAGAGATCATCACCAAATGTCAAAAGGGATTACCGAAATGTTTGCATATTCTTTGAAGGTCCTTGTCAATGAGTACCAATAGAAAAAGTAAAGGTTATATAGCTACCTATTTCTACTATTACTGATAGCATAAACATACTAATGGTACTAAATTTAAATCTCAATCTGTTGGGTAAACAAACCATCACTAGTAGGTCTACATGCTATACAACACATCAAACCTGACTAAAAATGTTTTTCTAACATTTCAACTTCTATATTTCCCCATTCTGGCCTATCCCTCCCCCAGGAGCCATTAAAGGTACTGGCATGCCTACACAGAAGACTTAAGTCCACTGAACAGAATTACTTTTCCTAATTACCTTCTCAGATGTCCTCAAGACAAGTGTAAGGTGGACCAAAAGTTCAGAAAAGTCAGTAACCAAGAGGATTTTAACTCTTAAGATTCAAAAAATAAGGCCAAAAGGCACCTCCAGGGCTCTTGCTATCATAAGGAGTCATAATTACATTATATAATTCTGTTAATAAACCATCCACCATCTCCTCTTAAAAAACACTAGAAATAAGAGGGACCAAAGCTCCAAAATGAACAATTAAAAGGCTGTCTCAGAACCTCACTAAAGCTCTGCCCCTCTGGAAGCGTTCCCGTTTCCTGTCTTGACATATTCACAGCCTGCTTGTACCTAGTTATTCTTGTGCCAGCGTTGTCCTTTGGTTTAAACAGTTTTTTTCCCCTTCCTAGTTATTACTCCCCAAAGTATTTAGGGAACAAATTGGTATGCCTTCTTAGCCTTCACTTTGCTGAGCTAAACAGCCTGGTGTTCAAGCAGGTTCCTCTTACAACGAGGTCTTCCCACTCCAATCGTCACAGCTCTTCTCCACACCTCCTCCAATTTAAACTTGCCTCTTGAACAGTGTCCACAACCATACACAGTATCACGGAAGAGGGTCTCACGCTGCCATGAACGCTTCCATCTCTGAACTAAAGACACTGACCGCTACGTTTTAGGATTCCTTTTCCTAACTTGAGTCTCGTAACCTAACATAAAGTCCAATTCTGTCATTCAAAGCTTGACAGAGGATTTCTATTCTTACAGTAAACAAAGAAAATAGAAATATAACCCTTTTTCCCCCCTCTGGAAAAGAGCCTATTTAGTTATATGAACAGGTTTTCTTTCTAGTAATGTTGTTCTACTTTTTATTGGCATCTTTAGTTTCATCTGTTTGCCTATTTTCTCCCAGCCTGGAACGCTTTTCATATATTTTAAAGTACTAACTCACAGATAAACTTGCCATCTAACATAAGCCTCAGATCTCAGGTTTGCAGTACAATGCCAAACTCCACACAGATACTGATGTCAAGAACAGCTAAGCAAATATGTAATTTTTCAACTTGGCGGGGGGGGGGGAACCAATACAATATTTTTTTCTGGTTTTTTTTTTTTTTTAAAAAA